GGGGGGGTATGTGCCATGTTTTAGTTAATGTGTAGCTCAGAGGAAGAATTCGATGAACAGTAATGTGGAATCCAATTCATCTTTGGAAAAAATCAAGTTCGAATACCCCAAATCCAGCCTTTCAATGGTCTTTGGAGGTCCTCCCTGTGTCAGGAAAACAAAGTTTTCGTGAGCTCTTCACAAATAGACTAAATGAATTTCTAATTCCCTTCTTCGTCATGAGCTGGGTATCCCAAATTCTGCAACCTAAAGTTTAAGGGTGGGAACTATAAGAGTTGAAAGAGAAAGAAACATGGGAGGTGTTAATATTGACCTTGTTTTTCTCCCCAAGGTCAGACACAAAAGGCACAGGAGAAAAGATACCCAATTCTCCATTTGAGCAGATTAAATTCTAATTGTCTTTCTAGCTGGTATTTTGCTTTGGAAACTGATTCTACTTGCGGTTTTCTTTTCTTTTTTCTTTTTAAATTTTTTTTGGAGAGAGATTTTTGCTATCGGGTGTATGCATTTACTACAGAGAGAGAGAGACAGAAAAAGAGAACCCTCCCCACCGAAGGATGGCCATGTCACAATCCCTTCTCCTCCATTCTCCTCTCGGGACTTTGGGCACACACATACACACACACACACACACACACACACACACACACCCAGCATAACCTTCAAGCTGCCAGGTCTGGGACTTGAACCACAATCAACTGCATGGGAGTCCAGCAACACAACTATTACACCATCTGCAGGTCCCCTACTTGTGGTTTTCTAGCTGAGCTTATTTTGTATGCTACACATATTCTCAAACTGCACTTTTTTTCCAATTATGAACTCCAGTGGACAGGTTGCCCTTTTCCAGCCTCATCCTTAATTAGCTTCTGTGAAGAACTGGGGAGATGCTGGGGTATGGGCACCATCCAAACCAAAACACACGGTGGTTGCCATGGGCAGAGCAGGAGAGGCTAATGATTAATCGCACCTGCTACTTGAAATCACTCAGCAGTTGTTCCAAGTTTTCATTTTCCAAAGAATAAAACCAACTCATTTCAATTCTGTTGGATTAATTGGCAGACAAATTTTCTTTTTCACATGGCAGCAATGGTTCATGGATATTAAAAGTCACCATCAATTAATTTCTGAGTTTGAATGGAAGAAAGAAAGACCTTCATCAACAGTCTTCAATGATAAACTGTGATGCACTTACACCATGAAGTTGAAGACGGCAGGAGCTTCTAGAATGCTAGGCCAGAAACAAATGCTGAAGGAAATGGCCATCTTCAGCATTAATAGCAAATATTTCTAAAGCAACTACCAGACTGCTGTGTCACAGTAGAGACTGTTTTTTTTTTTTTTTGGAGAGATTTTTCGCTATAGGGCACGTGCGCTTGCCAGACAGACAGAGAGGGACATAGAGACAGAAGGCGAGAAATCACCCCCCAGAAGGGATGGCCACGCCACAATCCCTTCTCCTCCATTCTCCTCTTGGGATCTTGGGCATGCACGCACACGCGCCCGGTGTGAGTTTTAAGCTACCGGGTCCGGGACATGAACCACAGTCGACTATGTGGGAGTCCAGTGACATCGCCATTACACTGACTGCTGGTTCCCAGTCACAGTAGAGATTTTTGAAAGCTGGGATTGAAGAGTCCTTGCTCGGAGCTGACAGGGCAGGGCACACAGGTAAAATGCTACCCATCTGGGGCCAGAGATTTCCTGGGGTAGGAAAACGGAATGTGCTGTCAACTTCACCTCCAACTTCCTGAGACAGGCTCTCTGCATACCCATCCCGGCTGTCTTCCTTGTGTCTGGTCAACTATTCATCTTAGACCCGGAGAACAAGAACAGCATGCGTATTTGTTTCTCGTGGCTACTGGAGCAGATTACCAACAACTTGATGGTTTAAAATAACAGAAATGTATTTTCTCTCAGCTCTGGAGGCCAGAAACTCAAAATCAGTATTGCA